ACAAAAAAATAGCCAGGCATTGTGGCAGGTGCCTGTAGTCCCAGCTACTTGGGAGGCTGAGGCAAGGTGCCTGTAGTCCCAGCTACTTGGGAGGCTGAGGCAGGTGCCTGTAGTCCCAGCTACTTCGGAGGCTTGCAAGGTACTCACTTAAGCCCAGGAGTTGGAGGTTGCTGTGAGCTGTGATGCCACAGCATTCTACCCAGGGCAAGAGCTTGAGGCTCTGTTTCAAAAAATAAATAAATACATAAATAAAATTGCAGTAAGTTCTACACTGCTTTTTTTTTTTTTTTTTTTGAGACAGTCTCACTTTGTTGCCCTTGGTAGAGTGGCATGGTGTCATGGCTCATAGCAACCTCAAATTCTTTGGGCTTAAGTGATCCTCTTACCAAGTAGCTAGGACTACAGGCACCCACCACTACACCCAGCTTATTTTTAGAGATGGGATCACACTCGGGCTGGTCTCAAACAACTGAGCTCAAGCAATCCACCTGCCTTCGCCTCCTAGAGTGCTAGGATTACAAGCGTGAGCCACTGCACCTGGCCAGCGCCTGTGGCTCAAAAGGGTAGGGCACCGCTCTCATATGCTAGACGTGGCAGGTTCAAACCCAGCCCTGGCCAAAAAAAAATAAAAACTGCAAAAAGATACTGTGTGCCACTCTAGTTACTACCAATACTCCTTTCCTTCACAACAAGTTTTCCTGAAAGTTGAATCTATCCTTCTTTTTATTTCTTTACCCCTGCTCACTCAAAACAATGTACTTTTTAGCTCTAAAACAGATACTGCTCTTATCAGGATTATCAAAACCTTCTTAGTTGCCAAATCATACATTTTTAAGTTCTTAGATTATTTTTATCTGTATTATCACACTTTTAACTACCTACATGTTCACCAGGTTATTGGCTGCTCTTCCTCTATTAGTCCTCAAATGTCTGTGTTACTTGGATCTTCTCTTCTTTTCACTCCTGTGGTGATCTTACCCAACTGAGAATTACCAAATTTGAATCTCCAGATTCTAATACAAGTTCCAGGATCCTATATTCAAATGATTGCAGGAAATCTCTACTTGAAATCTCCTGTTAAGTGTCTCAAAATCAGTATGTTCTGAAACACTTTTCTTTGTCTATATAAATGGTACCATAATTTACGATAACATCTTAAATCAGATACCTTATGATCATTCTAGACACGGTAGGCCTCCACCTCTACCCATTTTGAATCTTTCAACAATCTAACCTCAACTAGTACTACTCACTACTACTTCAGATCAGATGTTCATCATTATTTAACTAGATAATCATGAAAGAGTCTCCTCAAATAGACCCTTCTCCAGCTTCATTCATACTGATGCCAGTAAACTTCCAAAAAATGTCACCAAGCTCCATAATGCTTAAAATAAAATCCAAACACTCTAACACAGTACACCCTAGCAAAACTGAAACTCTATATCCATCAAACAATAACTTCTGTTGCCCCTTTCTCCCAGCCCCTGGCAACTACCATTCTACTTTCTTTTTTATTTTGACCACTCTAAAAACTTCATACAAATGGAATCACAGGCCATTTTTCTTTTGTTTTTATTTTTTTATTTATTTAGAGACAGAGTCTCACTTTGTCGCCCTTGGTAGAGTGTTGTGGCCTCATAGCTCACAGCAACCTCCAACTCCTGGGCTTAGGTGATTCTCTTGCCTCAGCCTTCCAAGTAGCTGGACTACAGGCACCCACCACAGTCCCTGGCTATCGTTTTTGTTGCAGTTTGGCCGGGGCCAGGTTTGAACCCACCACCCTCGGTATATGGGGCTGGTGCCCTACTCACTGAGCCACAGGCGCCACTCAGTTTTTATTTTATTTTTAAACTTTATTCAAATTAATATGTGGGTACAATATTTAGGTTACATTGTTCTTACTTCCAGGGTACAGTTCCATTTGTAGAAGAGCCCCTCACCCAGGGGGCGTGTTATACACACTCACAATGTGCACATTAAGGTGAGATCTCACCTCCTGCCCTCCCTCCCTCCTGCCATCCGTCCTCTCCTCTCCCCCCTCCTGCTTCTCTCTAACCCCAAACTGGACTGTAACAGTGTTTTATTGTTCTTAGGAACATGTAATTGTTTATATATTGATTTCATATTAGCATGGAGTACACTGGATATTTATCTTTCCATTCTTGCGATACTTTACTAAGAAGAATGTATTTCAACTCCATACAGGTAAATGTAAAAGATTCAAAGTCTCCATCTTTTTTAATGGCTGCATAATATTCATGGTGTATATATACGTCACAGTTTTTGATCCATTCATGGGTTGATGGGCACTTAGATTGCTTCCACAACTTGGTGATTATGAATTAAGCTGCAATAAACATTCTAGTGCAAATGTCTTTGTGGTAAAATGATTTATGTTCTTCTGGATAAATACCTAGTAATGGGATTACAGGGTCAAATGGAAGTCTACATTTAGATCTTTGATGATTTTTCATACTTCTCTCCAAAAGAGTTTTATTAGTTTTCTTTTTGTGACTGATATATTTCACTTAGCATAATTTCTCAATGTTCATACATGTTAAAGCATACTGCAGAATTTCCATCCTTTTTAATACTGAATAATATTCCATCATATGAATATATCACATTTTGCTTATCTGTTCATCTGTTAATATTAGATTGCTTCCATGTTTTACCTACTGTGAATAACACTGCTTTGAATATGGGTGTATAGACATCTCTTTGAGACCCTGCTTTTAATACTTTTAAGTTTATACCCAGAAGTGAAATTGCTTCATATAGCAATTCTATTTTTACTTATTTTTTTATTTTTTGAGACAGTCTCACTCTGTTGCTGTGGTGTCATAGCTCACAGCAACCTTAAACTCCTGGGTCTGAGCAATCCTCTTGCCTTAGCCTCCACAGCAGCTGGGACTACAAGAACTCACCACAACGGCTGGCTAGTTTTTCTACTTTTAGTAAAGCCGCAGTCTCATTCTTTCTCAGGCCAGTCTATTTTAATTCTTTGAGGAACCACCATACTCTTTTCCGTAGTAGCATATTCATACCTGCCTACTTTCCTAATCTTGAAGGGACAGCATTTAGTCTTCATAATTATGATGTTAACTGTAAGTGTTTCATACATGATTTTCGGGGGAGGGGGGTGTCTTGCTCTATTGTCCAGGCTGGTCTCAAACTCTTAGGCCCAAGCTATCCAACTGCTTCAGCCCCTGCATAGCTACAATTACAGGAACAGACTTCTGTGCCCAGCAAAACCTGAAACTTTTTGAGCACTGATATGACTGATTGTCAAAGGAAATGCTCATTGGAATGTAATGCAAATATTTTATATTCTGAACAAAATCCAAAATACTTCTGGCCCCAATTAAGACAAGGGATATTCAACCTTAATGTGTATAATACTCAACATAACATGTGTAAGTATAGTTTTCTTCTAAAGTTTCTTTCTTAGAATCCTCCAAACTTCTTGGAACTAAATGATCAGCATCTTTAAACACTTCTGGAAATTCCCAATTATCTCCTAAACTACCACCTTGTCTCTGTCCTATTAAATCTTCTCAAGCTCTAATGAAAATCAAAATAATAAGCTGATAAAATCTGAATGATTTCTTTCCTTCCAAGTTCCTAACTTCAGTGCATTCTTTTTTTTTTTTTTTTTGAGACAGAGTCTTACTATGTTGCCCTCAGTAGAGTGCTGTAGCATCACAGCTTACAGCAACCTCAAACACTTGGGCTTAAGCAATTCTCTTGCCTCAGCCTCCTAAGTAGCTGGGACTACAGGCGCCCGACACAACACCCAGCCATTTTCTTTTTTTGGTTGTAATTGGCCCAGGATGGATTCAAACTCGCCAGCTCCAGTGTATGTGGCTGGCACCATAGCCACTGAGCTACAGGTACCAAGCCAGCATTCATTTATTTCAAGACAAATATATTGAGCACCTCCTAGGTGTCAGACACTGTCCTTAGCAATTCAGAAAAAAAACTACTAAGAAACTACATCTGCCCTCTAGAATACTGAATAAGAAAGTATAGAAGGGGAGAGCATAGGTTTTCTGATCAAGGTATGTAAAAGCTGCTTTAGGAGCACAAAGGAATAACCTTACCCAGACTTGCTGAAAGGGTCAGGTGAGAGACTACTTCTCAGAGAAGATATATGAGCCGAGACTTAGAGATAATTAAGACATTACACAGTATAATTACTGTAACTTTAAAAAGAAAAAATGAAATAGTTAATATACTAACACATCTTAAAAAAGAAA